GTATACTGTTGTGTGTTAATATGTTTCTGTGATCGAAATCATTCAGATTTATTTATAAATCAAAATGTAGCACATATTTAAACAAGTTATTATCAATACTTTAAATAATGCACTTAACAAAACTTATGGAATGAATTGAAAAGCTGTGTAAGAGAAAGAAAAACAAATAATCAGCTGCAACTTGAAGATTATGCCCATGAAGCGTAGCAAAGTATTGCTGGAGATGTGTGTGCTAAGAAAATCTAAACGACGAAAATTAGAGAAAGTTAAAGCTGAAAAAAAGTATGAGCTGTTGACTCTTCATTTTCAGGTGATATTAATTTGGGGCATAATTTTTTTCTATTGTATAGAATTATTCAAAATTAAGTATCACCAATTTTTGTTTTTTTAAAAATCATTTCACCCCAAGCAAGAATAAAGCTACTAAGATAAAAAGGGTTACTGAGAGTGAGAAAAATAAAATATTATTAAGAGGAGAGAACTGAATAGGAATTGAGAAGTCAGAAGATTGAGATTACATTTACATTTTTGAAGATTAATGTTGCCGTCAACTTAGTACTGCGCTTAGATTCATAAAGTCTAGCTACCAAAGAGGAAAGTTCATCAAAACAGCGTGAAATTATTTAAAGAAAGGGTGGTGGGAAGGTGACTGAAGTTGAGATGCCAGGTCAGGGCCAATGACACTGCTTATTTTTTTTTATTTTATTTTATCAAGAATCTCTAAATACATATCAGAAGCGCCAGACTAGATGTGACAATAATATTCACTGCATGGACGAATGATTTAAGATAGATTCTGACCAGAAAAGTGACTAGCACGACGCAGTGAACCAATTTTTCTAGTTGCAAACCTAGCAATTGATTCAATATTATCTTTCCACTTCAAGTCACTCTCCTGGATGTTAGCAACAGCCATGATGATGAAAGATAAAAACGGTTCTCTGAGACGATTAAAATAGAGCAGTTTCATTTTTGGAAGCATTAAAATTAATTAATAAGTCACTTCTTGCCCTAGTTAACATTTGAGGTCATTTTTTTAGATCAGCTGCCAATTTAACCTTAATGAACCGATCAGACTTACCATTAAGATAGGAGTAAATTGTTGTGTCATCAGTATAGATAGCGAGTTGAGAACTGATGACATCAGGAAGGTCGTTGATTAAAATTAAGAACAACGTAGGTTCAAGGATAGTGCCTTGGGGAACATCGGCATTAATGAAAAAGATATAGAAGAGTGGCCGTTCAAGCAACTTTCATTTCGCGATTTGATAAGACAGGCTCAAAAACTCGTTCAGAAATACCATAACCTTTCAACTTGTGAAGAAGACCAGCATTCCAAACCGTTGTCAAACGCTTTCGAGATATCCAAAGCAACAGCCCGAGTTTCACCATTCTTATATAAACCTTGATAGACTCTTTCAGCAATAACCATTTGGCACATCAGGAGTTAACTTAGAGAAACAATATTGCTTGTCTGAAAGAAGACCCTACGATGTGAGATTCTTGACGAATTCAGAGTTGAATGGAACCACTTTGCCAAATAGAGTTAGAAGGCTAATATGCCAATAGTTAGACGGTTCGGTCAAGTTCTTAGACAAGAACCACAAAAGATTTCCAACAATCAGGAAAGCAAGAAACAGCAAGGCATTTATTGTAAAGTTTAAAGAGATCAGGAAACATTTCAAGTGCACATTTCTTAAGGATTAGTGCAGTCCAAATGCTTTGTGAAGATCTATTTTAGAGATGATAGCAGAAACCATGGACAAAGTCATAGATATATCATACAATAGAGATTCAGTTCTAAGTGGGAAGTTAGGCAAATATATTCCAGATGAATCAAAAGTAGAATTAGAAGAGAATTTATGAGCAAAACATTCTACTTTATCAGTAGAAGACATAATCTTATTTAACACACTATTAGAGAGTCGCCAGTAATCACGAGAAGTTGTAAAAGGATACAGGATGTTTATTTTGTCAACAAAGAAACGCTTAACCTCTTTGATGACACCTTTACAATTATTACGAGCAGACACAAAGTGGTGTCTGTCATGATGAGAACTATTACGCTGGTGCAGCCGGAAAAGGCCATTCTTGTGGGTTATAGCAGTTGAACAGGCAGGTGTGAACCAAGAAGATTTTGGTTTCACCTCGTATTTCCGAGAAGTTACAAAAGTATCGATGCCGTCTTTTACCCAAGACGAAAACTCAGCGGTAAAATTCTTAATAACAAGGTTAAAAATATCACTCATATATTTTAAAGAAATATCTTAAAGATATTTCTTTAAAAATAAAATAAAAATACAAAAGGAATAAATAAAATATATATAAAATAAAATAAAACGAAGAAAATAAAAGAAAAACACAAGCATAACATAACATATATGCATACATACATACATTGTTTCCATTGCTAAATTCTTAGGCTCTCCTATCACCCGATCCATACTCCTCTCCTTTCTCTTGAACAGGATTAGAAGCCCGTCCCCTGTTTCCTGTTTTAGAAGGGGTTCCTGATTCCTTTCATTGTCTCAGGCCTTAATAGTGGTGCTGTCATTATTTTTTTGCGATATGCGAGGATGGTGGCAACGTTTCTCCATACTGAAGGTACCATATTGGCAATTTTCTGATTGCTGTTCTCGACTGGTAGTTAGGAACCCGAATTCATGCGTAGCGTTTTTAAAGGCTGCTCTGATCAACAGTTGCAGTGCCATGTCACGCATGGGAAGGTGTCCCTGCAAGCACCTCCGGTGGTGAATCACTTCTTCTGGTTGTACCAGAGCGAAACGTCTTATAGCAACATACGTCTCTTTGTCTCTGCTCGTAACGAATATAAGCGTGTTCTCAATGAAGCAAAGTTATTGTTTATTATAGAATGAAACAACGTATGGCGTCTCGCGAGTTCGGTTCTAGAGGTTATTGGTGGCTCTGCAAGAGTGTGCTGAACAACAGCAAATCCTCAATCTCGCTTCTATTCGATCAGTTCGAAGTCCTGGCATCTACAGCAGATGAGGTTGAATGGTTTGCTCGGAAATTCAATTCCAACTCAACAGTCGACTCATTTGGAGTACCCACACTTAATCTTACCCCTAGAACTAAGGCTCTACTGAGTGATATGCGCATAACCCCGTCACTAGTCTCGGACATCATTTCTAAATTAGACTCCCATGAGGCAAGTGGAGGTGACTGGATATCAGTTGTCGTCCTAAAGAAATGTGCTCCCGAGCTGGATGCAGTTTTCTCCAAACTCTACAACTATTGCCTCGCTGCTTTCCAATTTGTTGTAAGTCCTCCTCTAGAATTCTTGTTTTTAAGAACTCAGGAGAACGTTCTGACCCCTCTAACTATCTCCCTATCCCCCTATTAGTCTCCTGCCGCTTTAGTATTGACAACAAAAATAATAAACACTATTTATTTAATAGATTGTTTATTTACTCTTTTTATTTATTAAATTCCTTATTGGAATGGTTAAATATTTTACCTCTCACGACCTATTCTCTGACAAACAATATGGATTCCGTTTTTGGCTCTATCCTGGGTCATACGCTATTTCTGATCTTCATTAATGATCTTCCTAATGTCATCAGTTCTCAAGTAGGCATTTATGCAGATGACACTACCAAATAATCCTGTCTAAATAGCAAATCCGACAGCTTTAACCTGGCAGCCGTTCTTGAAAAGGACCTCCAATCAGTGGTTAACTGGGGCAGGAAATGGCTCGTAAATTTTAATGCCTCCAGAACTAAACTGCTCTCATTTAACCACGACAGAGAAACTTCCCTGTCCGCCACCAGCATGGCAGTTGCTCGACTCCTGGAGAGCGTCTCACTTCGCCTTCTTGACCGCGAATTTTCAACTGATTTGAAGTGGAACAACTGTATCAATACCTGCAACTGCTACAATGAAAATTGGTTCATTGTGTCGCGCCAGAAGGATTTTCTCGTCAGAGTCCATCTTGCATATTTACAAATCTACCATTCGGCCGTACATTGAATACTGTTGCCATATCTGATCTGGTGAACTTGCTATTCATGTCGAGGTTCTTGACAAAATCTAAAGTAGGATCTGCAGTGCAACCGATACTGAACTTGACATCTCGACTTCAGTCACTTTCTCACAGACGTAATGTGGTTTCCTGTCTTTTCTACAAATATTTTCATGGCTGCTGCTCCGACGAGCATTTTTTTCCCTGGTGCCCTGACTACATGAATTTAAGCGTGCTACTAGATTGGCATCTAGGTCCCACCTTTTTACTATTGAAATAGTTAAATGTAACCGCAACTTCTACTCCAACAATTTCTTTTCTTGCACTTCCCGACAGTGGAAATTCCTTCTGTTTCCTTGTTTCTCTGAAAGCTACAATCTTCAAAAAAATTTAAATGCAATGTCAATCTCTTGTCTTGAACCGCGTTCATCTTTTATACTTTTCTCAATCTCCCCTATAACCAGTGTTTTCTCTCACTTTCACTCTCTGTAACCCTGCCATGCTTGGGGTGAAATGATTTTAAAAAATAATAAAAAAATATTTCCAAATTCAGTTTTCTTTATTAAATTCATTTATTGTTCGTTTAATTGTTGATGTCCTTGACAATGCTAAAAAAAGTACATATTATGTAACATTTCAAACGTATGCGCATATGATGTAAATAAGATGAACTGTTAGACCTTAAGATAAACGAGTAGAGAGCACTTGAGTCAGAACAGCAGAAGAGTAAAGTTGGGCTTGCTTATATGAGAGACTGCAGACAGGAGGATCTGACAACAGAATATGGCAGGGCTATTCATCTTTCTTTTCATTTCGAACGAAGAAAAGTTGATTCGTTTCGAAAAATAAACAAAAAGAAATAAAAACCAATAAAGGAGCTGAATGTGTAAAGAAAAAGGCATTTGTCTCTTCATGTCTGACATTATTGCACGGGGTGAAAATGCAGTAAAATAAACATATAACTAAATAAACTTTAAAAGTAGAAAAAATAATAAGAACAAGAGTTGAATGTAAGAATTCAAAACAAGAAAAGGCATAAATTCATTAAGAGAAGAAAAAGTAACAATTGAAAGAAAAATAAAGAAAGAAAAGAGAAAGAAAAAAAAAAAAAAGCAATAAAAAGAACGGAAAATAAAGATAAAAAGAAAGAGACAAAAAGGAAAGAAACAATAAAAAGAACGCTTATGAGAAAGAAAGAAAGAAAGAAAGAAAGAAAAGCAATAAAAAGAACAAATAAAAGAAAGAAACAATAAAAGTAAAGAAATAAATAAAAAAAGAAACAAGAAGCAATAAAAGAATGAATAAAAGAAAGAAAGAAGCAATAAAAAGAAGAAATAAAAGAAAGAAGCAATAAAACAAAGAGAGGAAGAAAGAAAAAAGAAATGAACAAAAAGAAAGAAGCAATAAAATGAACAAATAACAGAAAGAAAGAATAAATAAATAAAAAGAACGAATAAAAGAAAGAAGCAATAAAAAGGAAGAAAAAAGAAATAAAGAAAACAGAAAGAATAATAACGAATGAATAAAAGAAAGAAACAAGCAATAAAAAGAACAAATAAATGAAAGAAAGAAAGATTGAAATAAAAAGAGTCATAAAAGATTATTGACTCTGCAAGCCTTGTGTCAATGGTGGAAAAAGGTTTTAACATTTATCAATTCTTTGGGGATTCATAATCTTAAAAACGCTGCCATCTGCTGTGGAGTTTTTATTTCGCGGGTTTACAGCTTATGTCGATGAGTGCCCAGGGAAAGAGGCAAAAAATCATTAATGAAGCCGGACAAGACATCATGACCGTGGTAACGACTGACTGGCGAGTTGCTTCATGGTTATTGCTGCTTTCGATGAGTTATTTAACTACATATATTTTCACGGTAAGTGAATGTATGGGTGTCGTAACGGTTATCGGAACGGAAAATGGAATCAGCGAGCAAAGTTCAAATTCTGTCTGAAGCTGTTGCATTCATCAAGAAAAAGCATTAATCCATGTACACTTTCAATTATGGGTAAAATAATGAGGCAAACTGGATATGTTAGCCTTTTCAGTGTGGCCAGTCGAAAAGGAAACCTCTGAATTCAAAACCGTGGCAAAGTCAACAGGAAAGAGATCCAAAATGTAAACATATTAAAATAATGAAAACTTATGTTTTACATCACTGATAACTGATAATTAAAAAAAAAAAGACATCAGTAGTACGCAGTTATCAATACCGTAATCAGAGTGTCAAACTTGGCACTTGTAAATAAAAACAAAGTACAGGTAACTCTTTATGAATCAGGAATCAATTTAACATTGCATTTATATTATGAAAATGACCCACTTTTTACATGAGAAAAAACAAAAACAATATTTATACTTGGACCTTCACACACGCAAAAAGAACGGTATATTAAAAGGACTGTTTTTCCCTTAACGCCGCTATTATTTTAACTACCTTCACTCCTGTTTTAAAATGGTTTTGAAAGGCGATGATTAAAATTGTAATAAAACCTTAATATAAGGTGAAAGTGAATTCATACATTTTTTGCCCTTGAGAATTTACAACAAAAATAACAAAGCACTGTTTATTAGATTGTTTATTTACAAGAATAGTTTTACATTTACAATATTCTAAAAAGTAATACAATTGTATTAAAACTAATGCAATGTAATATTTATCATTTACCAATTTATAAAGAAATAAATATGAAAACAATTTTAACCATAAATTTATAAAAATTTATTAAATTAAAATATGTGAACCAACTATAAGGAAATCCTTAATATTTACCATTTAATAAAGTTCGAATCGATTGGCAAATTAGCCGATATTTTGCCAACCATTCCAACAAGGAATCTAATAAATAAATAGAGTAAATAAACAATTTAATAAATAGTGTTTATTATTTTTGATGTCAATTCTCAAAAATAAAGAAAATGTATAAATTCACTTTCATATGTTTAGGTTTTACTAAAATCATAACCATCGCTTTTTAAGACAATAACCATTGTCGAGGAGTGAAGGTAGTTAAAATAATAATGGTGTCAAGGAAAAATCCATCCTTTTGACACTCCATTTTGTTTGCGGGCACGAAGATGCAAAACAAAAATTATTTAAAAAATAAAACAACCTACCCTATTTTTTACAAGCGGATTAGTCAATTTAAGAGAGAAGCTGTCCTATATATATATATATATATATATATATATATATATATATATATATATATATGTATATATATATATATATATATATATATATATATATATATATATATATATATATATATATATATATATATGTGTGTGTGTGTGTGTGTGTGTATAAAATCTCAACTGCTGATGCGTTGTTTCCATATATCATTGTTTAAGAGTTCAATTTTCTCTCGGTACAACATTAAGATATCTTTTAGTAATCTAAATACTGAATCCTCTCCCTCCTGAATACGAATTATAAAACTAATAGTTTGCTTAGGAATATAAGTAGACAGCCTCACCTCGCTAGGTGTTACTGTTATGGTTCCTGTAGTAAGTTACTAACCCCACACCCAACCGGTTTTGAATTCAGAGTTGTCCGTTTTCTTGACTGGTTTCCAGTTCAGGTTAGAAAGTCTAGTTTGCACTGCTACTTAACCCATAGCTGGAAGAACAAGAGAAGGACACATAACTTTCCCAAGAATATTTTTGCAAATGTAAACGCAACCAAATGGTCGGGAATTTGAACTCTGCACGACGATTTCATTTTCCTCGCTGATAGCCGCTACGCTACGCGCACATCCGAATACGAATGAAAAATTCGTTTTTCTTTTTACAGCTGATAAGAAACAAAGGAATTTCATAAACTCTCTTAACTTAATTCCATTTTTTCTCCTCCTCCTCTTCATTATTATTATTATTATTATTATTATTATTATTTTCCGTATCTCTTTAGGACGTTGGCGATCATGGCTCTCCACAAGTTTTGTCTTTTGTAGCTCAATAAATTTTCTCTTTTTGTTATCTGTCCTAAAACTTGTTTCACTATCCATTTATTCGGGCTCACTAGGTAGGTTGTGCGTTGTTTTCCTTTGTCCCTTTTGTTCTGTATTACATTTTCCAAAATTTTTTTCCTCGTTATGTACCCTATTTGAACTGTTTCTTCCTGATGTCTCAAGTATCCTTTTTTGTTTCCATTAGAGAACGATTTTAACGAATATCACAAAATAGAAAGACAATTTTCTCAACGAATTTATTTGCCCTATACAGCGGGACCATCCTAATAGAAGTATAGGGTGTTCCAATAACTTGGACCGATTTTAAATGTGAATTAAGTTTAGGCGTCTAATGATTTTTTTCTTTTTCTTTCAGATTTAACAACTTATGTCTTTGGCAATTTCAACTATGGAAAGATTAACAATCAAACAACGTGTTAAAGTTTCAAGAGTGCAATTGGAAAAATTGTTCGTAAATTCAAACAAACTGGGTCGGTGGCAGATGTGAAAACACCATTGCGTGCTCGTTCACGCAGTTCAGCTGAAAACATTGCTGCAGTGTACGAGAATGTGGCCGAAAATCCAGACACCTCTATTCGTCATCGCGCGCAGGAATTGAACCTCTCCCCAACAACGTTAAATCGTTTCCAATTGCACTCTCGGTTGGTCGATTATGTTGACCCAAAAAATCGCGAAATACATTTCTGTTTGAATGTCCATTTTCGTAAAAGGCTTCGATAACTTTAACACGTTGATGATTGTTAATCTTTCTTTAGTTAAGTTGTTAAATCTGAAAGAAAAAGAAAAAAAATCATTAGACGCTTAAACTTACTTCACATTTAAAATCGGTCCAAGTTATTGGAACACCTTTTAGAAGTCCTACCAGGATTTATTATTGGTGGACATAATCTTAGCAACATAAGGTACGCAGATGAAAATAAATTGATGGTAGGTTCAGAAGAAAAACTGAAAGAACTATAAGATATACTTGGTAAATAAAACCAAAGAGAATTAATCGATTGTCTTTTAACGGTTTATCAAAGTTTTGCAGGTGATTTAAAGACGATGCATACTTTGGGGTTGTAAGAATAATTTAGTTGCAAGTGAATATTGTATTAACAATTATTTGGAGATAGCAATGACTTCCCCAGATACATGTAAGTGAATGTAACGAACTCGACTTGATTCGAACTCGGCTCTCCTATTCCTTAATCTGAGCTACTATCCATTACTCCAGACCGGAGATGCGAAACTGAAGGAAAATAAGAACTACAAAGAAAATTATACTTACAATCATGAAAAGGCAAGTGAAATTTCTTCGACGCAGAGAAGACTAAGAGAATTTAAGACTCACAGGGAATACTAAAGACAAAAGAAGTAAGGAAAAAGAACGACTTATTTAACGAGTTTGAGTGAATGGATGGCAGAACAATGACAAAAATGGATTGTAGTGAGATAGAAGTTAATCGAAACAACAAAGAACGGGAAGTTGCAAAGAGCTATGATCGCCAACGACCCGACACATAGAAGAAGAAGAATGTTCATATCTATGCGATAGTTCCAAATAGGTCAATTATTATAGATATGAATTTAACTCTCGTTTTATACAGTGATTCTAGTTCTCGTGCTATTTTAAAAAAAATTTTGATCCGGTACTTTGCCGGAATAGCCACGCATACAATCCAGTGGATTTTCATTTCTTTGTACAAAGTAACCACATTTAGTCGTCGTACTTGTACGGTAGGGTCAGCCTGGGTTTTAAAATTTAAGAGTATTTTTGATTCATTTTTATAATTTTTACATATTTTTTTTTTATAATTTCAGAGGAATTATTTACATTGTTCAGACTGTTGTCCTAATTTTTATTGTCATAATTACAATACCTAATCTCAGAATTATAGACAGAATTTCAGAGTATATTTTAGACCAGTCTTTGGTTTTTGATTCTTATTTATATGATCAAATCAAAGCTGTTTGCATAGTTCTCAGTGCATTAACGTTCACACTCTGATATGGTTATTTTTATATTTTATATATTACCTTGTAGAATTATTTTATGAAGTTATTTACAATCTTGTCTCTTTTTTCACATCCTGTGGAACTCTTCTGATGTTTGCTTCCCTTACACCTTCAATCTTTAAAAATTTAAATGCAAAGTCAATCGCCATATTCTCACGCCTTGAAATCTGCACATTTATTGTCTTTTCTTTTCACTAAAGTCTTCTCATTCTCTTCCACTCCTTGTATCTTAGTGGCATTATCGCCTTGCTTGGGATTAAATTATTAAACAAATGTTTTTAATTTTCTTTTATTTTGGATTTGACATTAATGATTCTGGTGCATTTATTCTCGATTGCAAAATTAAGAGACTCATCTCTTTTGTTTTAAAGTCACCTTAGAAATGAGATGCTATGTGATCATCTCAGGCATCTCCCACTTGGAACACATCACAAATGACGCAGTGCGTGACACTATCGAACAAGAAAAAGGCTCGTTGGAAGACCTCATATCCACCATCAAAAAGAGAGGAAAAGTTGAAAGGGTATGGACAGGTCACTAGAGCTAACAATCCTCCAAGGACCCACCTCATGCAAAAGAAGAAGAGGCAGACAGAGGGAAAAATTGTCTCACAACGCCAATGAGTG